CCGCTCATGTTGTAAACTATACATAAAAGATGCCGATATACAGCACTGTATTACTTACTGTCATATGAGTACAGTAAAAACCCGCATATAAGAACCTACATTTTGGGGAAGTAGCCTAAACAGGTTCTTATATAAATGGTAGTTAACAGAATCTTAGGCTACTTAGGTTCTTAAAATAGCTTCTTTTAAGAAATTAAAATAAATTAAAATTCTAGATTTAAGTGACCACTTTTTACAGGTTGTCGTTAAGACTGCATTAGTATGGTAATCTTCATATTTCTTACATATACTTATTTTTTTACATCACTATATTTTTTTCATTTTTTTACATCTCAAATTTTTCCAAATTCATTTCATCTTCAATTAAATTCCTCTAATTTCAACTGATATTTTAATAATACTTTCGTACATTTGTAGATGTGACATTAACTTAAGTAGATTTCCTTCTAGGCACTATGTATTCTATCTTTTCAGATGTTCTCATTACTATTTGAAAATCAATAAGTGCGAGTGATTCTTATCACTTCACCTTGCATTTTACCCCATGAATTTTTATCTTTGTCATTCTTACCCCGAAATTATCTTTACACCTGGCTAATGACGTCATGTTTGTTGTGGCGAAGTGCATCATGGTATTGATGAAAACATTAAATTGACGGATGCTTTATAAAAGCTACAGACGAAGTTTACTCGCTTGCGGAATGAATACTATCGCAGGTCAAAAATCCTTTGGAAGAGTATTCAATGAGATGCCTACACACTGGTGTATGTTAAAATACCGATCAGGGAAATAACTAATGCTTGTTGTTCGTAAAACAAGCAAAAACCAACGAAAAACAACAGCATGGCTCATTTTTTACTTTCGTCAATCCCATATTGAATCTCGCCAACATTATTAGAAAGAAAAGGGCCAACACAAGTTATTATCATATAGCTTAGTGCCCAACGAAAACTACTGAACTATATATATAACTAAATATATACAACCTACCACAGGATAGTGGGGCGTTTTTTTATGCAGCAGTTTTAGATATGCAGGACGCACTCTTTGACTGCATGCTTGACGAATCTGTGCTGCACCCTGTCTTGTGAATTTATTATTACGCAGATTTAGCAAATGTAACTTGAAATTCGTATTTTGTACCATGTCACAAATACTCTTGACATATTCGTCAGTGACCTCGATTTCTTCCAAGTTCAGCCTTGTGAGCTTGCAATCTTGGTGGACGAGTGCTTGGCATAAGCTGCACATTCCTTGTACTTTAACGCGAGTTTTTCTGAGATTTAAATCATTAACTTTGCAGTTTTCATGGATAAGAATTTCGCAAAGCATTGATAGACCTTCGTCTGTGATTTGGCTATTCCAAAGGCATAATACAGTCAGACAGCACGATTCATGGGTAAGGGCTTGCCGCAGCTGCTGAAAAGCATGGCGTTCATGTGGGTGGGCATCGGCGTATGCAAGAACACCAAGACTTATACGTATTTCGTTCAGTTTACAGTTAGGATGCTGAAGTGCCTCACATAGGACCGTGAGTTTGTTATCTGTTAAAACAATGCCATGGAGGTCTAACACACGGAGTTTGCAGTCTTCACTTTTAAGAGCATCAGAAAGGTATGATAGACCTATAAAAGCAAAAATAGAAATCTATCGACTTGTGAACAAACAGTGTGAAGGGAATAGCAGTGAAWTTAATWAGTGGRAAATATKGTGGAAACTATTTGAAAAA